TGAGCCAAAGGCAGTTGCTTAACCAACTGAGCCACCCAGGCGCCCTACTTCAGATACTTTTAAAAGATATATACTCCTTCCCCAAATCTTTTAGCTCTCTCTTTCCCCAGAGATAACCACTTTCTCCCCCTAATTGCTTTTATACTTTTATTACATATGTATGACTTCATAAGCAACATGTAGTTTCATTTTCATGTATTGAAATTTTAGATGCATAGGTCTTGATTTACTATTACAATTATTACAACAGTAGCATAAAGAAGGGTATAAAATGAAAAAGAGTTTCTCTTTCTTTACCCTTTCCATTTCCCAGAAATAATAGCCCCTGTTAAGTATCTTACTATAGTTCATAATTATTTTATGCCTATCAAGTCTAGATATTATTTATTTATTTATTATTTTAAAAAGTAAGCTCTAGACCCAACATGGGGCTTGAACTCATGATCTCAAGATCAAGAGTTGCATGCTCTACTGACTGAAACAGCCAGGCACCCCTTATATTTATTTTTTATAGAAATGATGTAATATTACACTTTTTTTGTACCTTGCTGTTTTTCACTTATTAATTTACCTTTTCATATCTGAGCATATAGATCAATCTCAATGTTTAATAGGTGCATAGTACTTCATTGATAGATGTACCATAATTTATTTACTTATGAATGGATCAATTCCAGATTGATGGACATTTAGATTATTTCCATTTTCTAATTACAAAAATTCTGCAGTAAATATCCTATTTATTTTTGTGTACTTGTTAAGTTATCTTTATGGTTTATATTAAGTGAAAAAAATGGATGTGGTACAAAACTCCACGAGTTTACTATTTTTGTACCAGTATCTTGGGTGCTTCTTGTATTAAATAGTTTGGTGTGGTGAAGAGAATGTTAATTTGTAAATCATGAGATATGAGTTTCCAATCCTGACTTCATCACCAACTGTGTCTTTGGACAAATGATTTAATAAGTCTGGGATTCAAGTCTGTCATATGTAAAGTGCAAGATATCAACCACAAGGTCACTAGGTCCATTCTAAGTAAGGAAGATTTATAAACTATGATTGAAATCTCATTACAACTTTTATCACTGCATTTGTAGCCACCCAAGGACTTAGAACATTTATACTTTAACAAGTACGATGTCATGAAAGATAACAGTACCCTGAGCAAAGGTAAATCAGAATTGAAAACCCTGTGATAAATAGCTTTTTGTATGTGCGCAAAGAATAAAGAGCTGAAAAATATGTTACTGGTGGAAAAAAGTCAAGAAAACTTGACTTTTATTTTCATGTTTAAAATATATCTAAAAGTAATCAAAATTTGAGATGGATGAGGTGTCTGTCATTTCTAACAAAAGTGCTTTTGTTGAACTTGGTTAAATCACATATACTTGGAAAATCACACATAGGAGGAAATTAGCTTGATTTCTGGGACAGTTAATCTAGTCTCCAGTCCGGAACTTTTGAATTGTGTAGCTGATACCCCCTACTGGTGGGCAGAGGTGACTTCCAGCCAAGACATTTAGCAATTTTTGATTGGGAAAGAACAAATTATCCCAGTAAAAATGGACAGAAACAATCATTCAAAAAAGTATGGTGTTCTTACTACATTCTGAAAACTGTGATGGATATTGGGTAAACACAAACATGTTTCTTGCCTTTGTACCTATAAACAGTTGAATACAATGTGATAAGAATTAAAACATAAGTATAAATAATGCTGTGGGAGAATAGAGCAGGGTTTAGGGAAGTTGAGAAAAACTTCTCAGATAAATTGATATTTAAATTACATCTGAAGGCATTTTACCAAGGAATGAATGGGAAGGGAATTTCAGTCTGTGCAAATATGAACAAAGATGGTGGGTTTGGAAAATTACAGCAATGTGATTAAGTTAGAGAAGACACTGGGAGTGAAAGGAAGATGGTGTGAGAAAAGTGGCTCTATGTGAGCCTGAAAAGAAAGGTTGGGGCAAGATTATGAAGAATCATCTAGCTAAGAAAATTAGACTTTATCGTACAGCCAGTGGAGAGTTTGTAAGATGACTCTTTCAAAAGGCAGAGTACAATGTACATAATAATCTTAGTATATGATCTAATTATCAGAAACATTCTTGGTCTTTCTTCATTACTTTTTCTTTAACCTGTAAAATAGTGAGCAAGTGAGTCAAGATGTACTACTAGGTATTGTGAAATCAGTTTTGTGGATTGAGAACAATAACATAAAATAGAACAGAACACAGTAAAAATTATAAACTGCTATCACGTTTAATAGGGTTATCATTTTGGGAAAACTTTGTTTCAAGTATATATGTGTGCATTGGGTTCTAATATAAAATGTGTTTTTACTGTGGGTAAATTTCACTCATATGTGGAATTTAAGAAACAAAACAAATGAACAAAGGGAAAAAAGAGAGAGAGAGGCAAACCCAGAAACAGATTCTGAACTATAGAGAACGAACTGATGGTTATTGGGGGTGGGGGTTGATGGGATAAATGTGTGATTGGGATTACGGAGTGCACTTGCTGTGATGAGCACCAGGTGACGTATGGAAGTGTTGAATCACTATATTGTACATCTGAAACTAATTATCACACTGTATGTTAACTACATTGGAATTAAAAAAAAGTACCTGGTGAAGTCACAGAGGAGGTATTATTTGAGCACATATGTGAATGTATCAGTTTGTCAAATTGACAGGCTAGAGGAAATTGTTCAAGGTAGAAGGTTTAATGCATGTAAAGGTGTGAAGAGTATGAAGAACACGGACAATTCTGGAACCAGAAGTAGTTGAGGATTACTGAAATTTTAAGTGAAAGTTTATTGGCTTTCTTTTTGTTTGTTTTTTTAGCATGGATCTTTTCTTATCATGCCATTATATCAAGGTATATTTAAAAATATTTTTTATGTTATATTTTTAAAGATTTTATTTATTTATTTGAGAGAGAGAGTGTGTGAGAGAGAGCGAGCACACACACAAGCAGGGGGGAGGGGTAGAGGGAGAAGCAGAGTCCCTGCTGAGCAGGAAGCCCAATGTGGGACTGGATCCCAGGACCCTGGGATCATGACCTGAGCTGAAGGCAAATGCTTAACTGACTGAGCCACCCAGGCATCCCATGTTATATATATTTTAATATATATTTTCTATTGATAGATGTTCATGTTGTTTCATATTACTATTACAAACAATGCTGTAATAAATATTGTACCTACTTTACTGTGTATATAAGAATGTCTGTAGGGGCGCCTAGGTGGCTCAGCTGGTTAAGAGTCTCTTTTCAGGTCATGATCTCAGGTGGTGAGCTGGAGCAAGGTGTCCGACTCCCGTCTCAGGGTGGAGTTTGCTTGAGCGTCTCTCCTTCTTCGTCTGCTCCTCCCCTCCCCTCCCCTCGTGTGCTCTCTCTCTCTCTCTCCTCTTCCCTCTCCCAAAATAAATAAATAAAATCTAAAAACAATAACGTCTCTAAGAGGGGCGCCTGGGTGGCTCAGTCGTTAAGCGCCCGCCTTCGGCTCAGGTCATGATCCCAGGGTACTGGGATGGAGCCCTACATCGGGCTCCCTGCTTGGCGGGAAGCCTGCTTCTCCCTCTCCCACTCCCACTGCTTGTGTTCCCTCCCTCGCTGTGTCTCTCTCTGTCAAATAAATAAATACAATCTTTTAAAAAAAGTCTCTAAGATACCTATTAGTGGTTTTACTAAATTTAAAGTTATATACAATATTTTGATCAATTCTGCTAAGTTTCCCTTCAAAACGTTGTATTAATGGACACTCCTGGTATTAGTGTATGAGAGTAGCTTATTTCCCACATCCTTGCCAGGGATATATATCGTAAGTCTTTAATTTTAAGATTATCACTTTGCCAGGTAGACTATTATTAAAGACAGGTTTTCAACCAGCCAGTATAATGAAGGGGCGGAGACCACTGCCATTGTAGTCAGACAGACTTCAGTTCGTAACTTGGTTTTGACATCTTCTATCCCTGCTAATTAAATTGGTTCAAAGTGATAGTGTTGTGGCAAATTTACATGCGAAGTGTACAAAGAACATATTTATGGAAAGAGTTCAATAGGATTTATCATTACAATAGGATTTGGAGCAAATAGTGGTCATTAAATAATAGCTCATTAGTCGTATTGAATTTTTTCTTTTAAAGATTTTATATATTTATTTGACAGAGATACAGAGACAGAGGGAACACAAGCAGGGGGAGTGGCAGAGAGAGAAGCAGGCTTCCCGCTGAGCAGGGAGCCCCCCACGGGGCTCAATCCAAGGACCCCCGGGATCATGACCTGAGCTGAAGGCAGACGCTTAACGACTGCGCCACCCAGGTGCCCCAGGCTTCCCGAATTGATCAGTAATTGAGTTGGTGCCATTTAAGAGTTTAAGATGTTCACATTTTCAAAAAAGATAACCAGAATGCACAATGAAAGTGAGACAAACTATTTCAACAGGTGCTGTTCTGTAAAATCCAAGATTAAAAGGTGCTATTAGGCAACTAATCAGGCTGGGCATTTTTAAAATTTAGACGCTGGAGGATTAAAATCCACCATGCCTACTGCTGGGTCATATATTTACTGTAGGTACCCGGTTCGGGATTACCAACAGGCAGATACCCCTTTCCTGCCGGGAAACTATGGTTAAAAAGTGGTTGTCAGAAAAACATTCTCCAGATTTCAAGGCGGTCCTCCTGCTCCCTAAGCACTGCGGGCAAGATGGAGCTTTCCCTAATCACCTTTCGGGAATGGAGATTTCTATAATGTGGGTCACACACTGGAAAGGCCGTTTTGCCATTACCCAAGATGGCGAACTGCGCAGCTTCACGATTTCCAGGTTTCAATATGGCTTCTCCGACCCGTACCTCCGGAGGTTAATCTCAAGAACCAAACTAAAATCGCGCGGAAGTAGCGTAAGCGGAAGTTGCGCGCAGCCCAACTTCCCACCCTCTACGTCCGCCCCCGTTCCTACGCCCCGCCCCTGGTGGCGCGGAGTGCAGAGCCAAGATGGCGACCGAGTTGGAGTACGAGTCTGTTTTGTGTGTGAAGCCAGACGTTAGCGTTTACCGGATTCCTCCACGGGCCTCCAACCGCGGTTACAGGTACTAACCCCGATACACTGCAGCACACGCATACCGGGTCGGGGATGACAGTTTCCTCCTCAGGTAGCACGCTGCGAGTCCCTTGCCACTGCCACCTCTGGGTTGTCACCTTGCTAACCTCCCTACCTGGGTTGTTATCGCCCTGCCCTCCTGTTCTTTCCCCACCGTGGAATGACATCCTGGTTTCCGCCGCTTTAAAAAAAAAATTACCGTCTGCACCCACCCCCCCCCTCCCTTGGGCCCCTCTGGGTTACCCATCTGCTCCCCATCATCCACATCCAGTCGTGCCTGCTCTGTTGCCAGTCACCTTTGGTTCGTTCTTTTCCTGCGTCCTTCAGTTTGTCACCCTTGTCGAAACCCCCTCCCGTCCTCCCTCTCGTACACATTTCCAGTACCCAGTGCGCTTTTGTGAGTAGTCATTGTGTTGGCCATTCTGTAGGTGATACAGTTTATCTTCTGTGCTGTTGTCGGTCTTGCTACCAAATATCATCCACCATTTGGTTTTCCTTTCAGTTCTTTTGCTAGTGGGCAAAGGTTATGATTATAGGTTTTCCAGTCGGTGTCTATTCTGGGTTTTTTTTTCAGTACATTTTCTTGATGATTACATAGTATATTCTATTTTCCTTACCCCCCTCCCTTCTTAACCTCTCCCGTAGCTTTTTTCTCCAGAGTTAATGCAGCATTTTCTCTGTAGGGCCAGCTAACCGCCTTGTAATCCAATGATGGTGAGGTTCTGAGGATGCTGTAGGAGGTCATGAAGTCATGTAGTGGAAAGAGTTAACATGTTAACTGGGTTACATGTTAAGAAATATGAGTATGATCCCTGACAACTTAACAGTTATATGATTTGGGACAAATCTCTTAACCTTTCCAAGCCTTAGTTTTTCTCATCTGAGAAATAGGAAAAAAAAAAGTTAATGATAATAAAGCCTGCTCTAGTTATGTACCTCACAGAAGTTTTTGGAGGGTTAAATGAAATAATATAATAAATGTGAAAGAATTTAGGAAACAGTAAAGCAGCATATAAATATATAAGATACTGTTCTTATTGTTCTCTGATCCACATCACCATCATGATTTTCTTCTTGGCATTTATAATTATTTTGGCTTTTGTCCTCCTCCTGTGTCCATTATTTTGCCTCCTTACAGGAGGTTCATTCATCATGAATCAGTATCTTTGTACTTGCTGACTTGTGCATTAGACCCTGTGGGTTGTACCTTTCCGCAAAGAGGTAGTCCTAATTCCAGGCTTTCAATCAGACTCCAAATTGACCATGAATAGGAATCTACATGCTTTTTGATGGTGGTTACAGGTTATAATATGTATGACTCAGCTGAGACATCACCTTCCTTGGGAAGCCCCCTTGACCCTTCCATTCTGGCTTTGGTATGTTCTGTGTGTGCTTCCATAGCACCTATGCTTATCTCTGTCATAGTGAGTGCTCTTCCTTCTGTATTGTAATTGATTGCTCCATCTGTTTCTCTAGACTATCTGTGAACAGCTTGTTTCTTTTCTAATTTTATAGTACCAGGGTCTAGTACAGTGTCTGGCACATAGTGGGCACTCTGTAAACGTGGAAGAAATTTGTAGATTACACTTAATCACGTAAGTTAGCATTGAAATAGGTGAAATAGCTCATGACTTCCAACTTTAGTAGTAAAGCCTTCCTAAAGGATTTGATACACCATAGAGTGGGGTTCTCTTCTTTTTCTTCTACTTTAAGGTTTTTTTTTAAAGACCTTCCTTCTCTCATCTGCATTCTCTACCTTCACTTTCTAGTTTATCCATAGCCTTTTGTCCTTATGTCAGTTAATTGCACTGAGCCATCAAAACATTTTTTTAATTTTCCTCTTTTTCTTGTTATCTATGGTTCCCATGCTTATTATTGACATTTCTTATCCTCCAAAAGGCATTTTTTCATTAGCCACTTTTACTATAGTGAATGAAGAGAGCTGCACTAAGTTTGCATCAAGATTCCCATTTATTTGCTTTTGGAAAGACACTAAACTCTTTTTGTTTTTTAAAGATTTTATTTATTCTAGAGAGAGGGAACGAGAGAGCACACAAGCAGGGGGAGCAGTAGAGGGAGAGGGAGAAGCAGACTCTCCACTGAGCGGGGAGCCCGGTGCGGGGCTAGATCCCAGGACCTTGGGATCATGACCCGAGCCAAAGACAGATGCTTAACCAACTGGGCCAACCCAGGCACCCCGACACTTAACTCTTTTGAACTGTGGTTTCCTCATTTGTAGAAATGGATATACTACTACTTATCTTGCAATATCCTCTCACTTAATTTTCATAAGAATGGGCATAATGCTTGGCACGTAATAGATGCTTAATAAATATTACTTTTATGTCTTTTTGTCTGTCTAATCTTCTTGTTTACAGAACCCATTTTATATTATGAGCATGATTCTTCTTTAGGCTGCCATTAAAGGAAAAACTGGGCTTTTCAGGAAGCAGAAGGAATACTTGGTTTGAGTGACTAATAAGATTAGAGGGAATGAATGACTTTGATTCACCTATGGTGAGCTCTTGCTTCTCAGGCTTTTTTTTTTTTTTTAACCTTAGCCTTAGCTTTTTATTTATTTATTTATTTATTTATTTATTTATTTATTTGAGAGAGAGAGAGAGAGCACATGAGAGGGGGGGAGGGTCAGAGGGAGAAGCAGGCTCCTTGCTGAGCAGGGAGCCCGATGTGGGACTCGATCCTGGGACTCCAGGATCATGACCTGAGCGGAAGGCAGTCGCTTAACCAACTGAGCCACCCAGGCGCCCGCTTCTCAGGCTTTCACTGACAATTTAGGTCGATGAGAAAGTTATAAATGATTAAGAAATAGTTTCCCAACCTCTAAAACCGTTTTTATATTCATCACTGCCCTCCTCCTCAGCTTAATCAATAGTAAACTCAATAGTCTGTTTTAATGTGATGAGAATGCTGGACTTCAAAGTTAGGCATCATTACTTACTGTGTTACTGTTCTTCACTTAGACAGAGATGATAGGCTTTTCATGCCTATTCCGTATGGTTGCTGTAAGGATTTATTACTGAGGTAAGTGAAAATTTGTGAAGTCTGTTCAGAAGACCAGCGAAACCAAGAGTTCCTCAGGCTAGGTTTTGGGAGCAGGAAAGGAACTAAGGCTCAGGGCTGAGGGAAATTGCTGCTGGGAATATCCATTCGCTTACTGAGAATTTGTTAAATATTGGCCACTAGACATACAAGATAAATAAGACAAGGAACCTGTCCCAGGAAACACATCTAGTAGGTTTGTTCCTAATATATTCAATACACTATGTTTAGCTTATGGTGGCATGACAGAAGTAATTACTCATTTAAAAAAAAATTAAAATACAGGGACCTTTAGAGCATCGTAGTCTGGATCAGATTCAAGTACTTGAGCTTCTTTGAGGCAGGGCATCAAGAGAGAAGAACATGACAAAGATTTGTCTTATAAATCCTGTTCAAAACCTGTGCTTATTTTCATTTTTCTCTTTTCCACCTTTTGCTTACCCTCTCCTTAAACTTATTCTTGTTTGGATATACCTTCTTGTTACCTTTCTAACTTGCAAGTATTCATTTTCAGGTTTCTAAGGGATGAATTTTGTTTTGTTTTTACCATTTTATTTTTAAGTAATCTCTGCACCCAACGTGGGCCTCGAACTCACAACCCTGAAATCGAGAGTCACATGCTCTACTAACTGAGCCAGCCAGGTGTCCCAGGATGAGTTATTAATAACTTTTACTTTGCCCTCTCTTTTCCACATGCTGACAAAACAAAATCACAAGGCAGTGCTTTGTAAAATTGGTCATATTTAAATAACATCTTAGATTTCATTCAAATTCATTTATCATACAGATTATAAGTATTCAGTATTTTGTAATGTTTCCATGGACGTCGCTATCTCTAGCCCACATGTCTTTCCTAAACTCCAGACTCATATTCAAATGCCTTCTCTATAGCTTTGCTTGAAAATCTATTTGACATCTCAAACTACATATTCAAAACTGAACTCCTGATCTTTCTTCCCAGACATGCTCTACCTATAGCCTTTCTGTGTCATGTATTGGCAGCTCCTTTGCTCAGGCTAAAATCTTCAGAGTCATCCTTGACTTCACATTAAATCCATTAGAAAATCCTGCTTATTTACTTTAAATAAATATATCCAGAATCTAGCCACTTCTGCTGCTCTCTGTTCCTAGTCACCATCATGACTCCTGGATTACTGCAGTAGTCTCTTAACTAATCCCCATGCTTCAGTACTTACATCCCTACATTGCTTTTGCACACAATAAAGTAATCCTTTTAAAATAAAAGGGAGATTGGGACGCCTGGGTGGCTCAGTAGGTTAAGCATCCAGCTCTTCATTTTGACTCAGTTCATGATCATCTCAGGGTCATGGGATCAAGCCCTGTGTCCGGCTCCATGCTCAGTGGGGAGTCTCTACTTGAGATTCTCTTCCCCCCCTCTCTTTCTCTCTCTCAAATAAATAAATAAGTCTTTAAAAAAATAACTACTCTCTTAAAACAAATAAAATAAAAGGAAGATCATATTTCACCTCTGCTAAAACCTGTAATGGCTTCTCCTTCACTCAGAGTCAAAGCCAAAATTCTTACAAGACCTGTAAAATTTGGCCTTCTGTTATCTCTCCCACTTCATCTCTTTATTTTATTCTTACTGCAGTGGCTTCCTTTGAGGGCAAACATTCCAGACACAACCCCACCTTAGCACCTTTGCACTAAGTGTTCCAATCCTGGAATCACCTCCTTCCTCCAATATCTGCATGAGGAACTTTCTTGCTTCCTTCACATTTTTGCTCACATTTCACCTTGTTAATAAGGTCTCCCCAACCACCTTCTTGAATGTTGCAACCTGTTTACTCTCCCACTACCCTCCCAATTTCCCTTTTCTGCCTCTGCATTTTCTTTTTATTTTAGCACTTATCATCTTCTGAGATACTAATTATTTTACTTATTTTTTATTATCTGTTTTCTATGATAATGTAAACCTCATGAGGGTAGAAGTCTTCGTTTTGTTCATTCACTGTTGTATCCCAAGCATCTAGAACAGTGCCTGTGACTTAATACACACTGTAAATATTGGTTGAATTCAGTGAAAGGTGATGATACGTTTAGGGATTTGGGACGGCTTCTGTTACCTAGTATAATTCATTTAGTAGACTTTGTTGTTACCTGATCAGTCAAATACTATTATATAAATTATTATTATTATTTTTTGAAAAGATTTTATTTATTTATTTGACAGAGACACTGAGAAAGGGAACACAAGCAGGGGGAGTGGGAGAGGGAGAAGAAGGCCCCCTGCCAAGCAGGGAGCCTGACGTGGGGCTCTATTCCAGGACCTTGGGATCATGACCCGAGCTGAAGGCAGACGCCTAATGACTGAGCCGCCCAGGTGCCCCACTATTATATAAGTTATTGTCTGCAGTATGGAAATAGTATCATGAGAATTTTTTTAAATTGCTTGTGTTTGTACTTTACGTGTTTTTCTTGATGCTTATTGGATAATCCTTACGTAGTAAGGATTTATTTGCTCTGGGCTATATGTAATAATGAGACATCTATGTAGAGGGGATCATGAGTTATTCTTATTGATTATTTAATAGGTAGAAAGAATAAGCAACCAGGACAACAAAACAGGAATATGGCAAATGATTCTGTGTAGGTTTTTAGTACTTAAAGATATGGACCTGAGACTTCCTATTTTCCTATCCTAGGGCATCTGACTGGAAATTAGACCAGCCTGATTGGACTGGTCGCCTCCGAATCACTTCAAAAGGGAAGATCGCTTATATCAAACTTGAGGATAAAGTGTCAGGTAATCTGCTGTGACTCTTTAACATATTAAGAGTATTAGTTTGGTGCATTTTTATAAGTACATTTAAGTTGGGGACTGGAATGGAAATATTTGTTAACTGGAGTTTTAGATTTTTGCTTCCTTTGCTCAAAGAAGTCTTTTCTTACCTGTCAGGGGAGCTCTTTGCTCAGGCGCCGGTAGAACAATATCCTGGTATTGCTGTGGAGACAGTGACAGATTCCAGCCGCTACTTTGTAATCCGGATCCAGGATGGTACTGGTAAGGAGTCTGGGATTTTGAACGGGATGATATTAGGAAAATAGGTAAATGCACTTCAATGAAAGTGTGTCCTAACTGCATTTATCTTACTTCAGTTTACTAAATTTTTCCTCTCCTTTCTCCATAGTTAACTATAGTTGCTAAAGGACAAGGATTAACATGTTATTTGTAATAGATATGAACGCAAGTTCAAGACATGGTAATTAATAGGTAGATGTAAATAAATCAAAATGTCTAGCTAACCAAAGAATTAACACATATTGCCCATTCCTTCATTGTTTGTGGTGGGTTTTGGTGGGACTGTCTTAAATCATCTGTGTCTAGGGCAGTCTATCTTTTCTCCATAGTCTATATCAGAGGTGGTTAAACTTTTTCTGTTTGAACACAGATCGTAAATATTTTAGATTTTTGTTCTCTATTGTAACCACTTAATTCTGCTGATGTAGTATGAAAGCAGCCATTGATAATATGTAAACAGATTGGTGTAGCTGTGTTCAAGTAAAATGTTACTTATAAAGACAGGCGATGGCAGCATTTGGCCCTTGGGCTGTATGTAGTTTTTGGACCCCTGGGTTGTGAGAAAATGTTTTATGTTCACGACTTGATTTAGTTAAGGTGACTGTTAATTTTCACTGGGTGGAATTTTCCCTAAGGGACACTTCCTATTCTGAGTATTCCTGTCTTTTTCACAGGGCGTAGTGCTTTCATTGGCATTGGCTTCACAGATCGGGGTGATGCCTTTGACTTTAACGTCTCCTTGCAAGATCACTTCAAGTGAGTGAAACTTGTCCTTTAGTTACCTGGTTAAAAGGTTTTGGAAGTGCTCCTTTTCAGTTGAATGGACACTATCTCTTTTACCTCCTGGTTTCTGTATTTGGTAAAAGAGTTCATTATGAATTTGAATCTTCCCATTTGCTGTTTCCTTACATTATTTTTGTATCTGCTTTGACCTTTCCTTAAAACCTGGAACATGTTTTTGGTCCCTTGTACAGTGTCTTGAGATGTTTTTGCTTATGTCTCTGGGGAATTGGCACTTGATTTTAAGTGGCTGAGGGAGGCATATAATAATAGCAGGACTGTATGGGAGCTAGGTGGGGAGTTGTGTGCCAGCTTTGTTACTTTGTATAGCTGACATGTTTTATGTCTGTTTCAACATTTCTTCCGGCTGCCTGGTTTTGGCACAGCTGTGGTGCATAGCACTGTGCACAATGTCAACTTCCTACTTCAGGGGCAGGCATAGGCATAACTCAGCTTTTCTGCCTCAGAACTCTGAAATTGTGGAATTCCACTCCGTTGGCATAAGGAAGCAGCCTGGAAGGACTGAGGAATTAATTACACTCCCTCAGGGGTAGCCCTCAACAATGGAGGATGGGGATTGGCAGCTAAATGCCCTCCTTTGGAGGGACAAGTTAAATATGTATTCTGGGTGGCTCCTCAGTACCATTGAACCCTGTTGCCCTCTTTCATGGCTTTTCTTCCTTTCCTTCCTCATTCTTCATGTTTCCTCACTCTGCTTTCTGGAATCTTGTTTCATATAAGTTAGTTACACTCAGATTTGTGTGTCGGACTCTGCTTTTAGGTAATCCCAAATTAAGATAATTTACTCTTTTACTGAAGGTGGGTAAAGCAGGAATCTGAGATTTCCAAAGAATCTCAGGACATGGACAATCGTCCTAAGTTGGATCTGGGCTTCAAGGAAGGACAGACCATCAAGTTGAGTATTGGGGTGAGTATGATTTTTTTCCCCCACTCCCTGTATTTTTATAATAAGCTTGTGACTTTTTCTTTCTCTTCTCTGTTTTCTCATTGTAGAACATTACAACTAAGAAAGGAGGTGCTTCTAAGCCCAAGACTACAGGGGCTGGGGGCCTAAGCTTGCTCCCACCCCCACCTGGAGGCAAAGTCACTATTCCCCCACCAACCTCCGTTCCCATCAGCAATCATGTCACTCCACCACCCATTCCAAAATCTAACCATGGAGGTAGTGATGCAGGTAAATCTCTATTACTTTTAACTTTGAGAAATCATCATATCTTAGGTTTTGATTGGGTAGCACCTGTTTGCCAAGGAGTGTGTTGATGTTTTTGCTATGAAATGGCACTTGGTGCTGACAAGGTGATTCTGGCAGCCTCTAGTAAGGAATTAAAGCTTTTCTAGTGAACTGAGAGTCATGGTATTTGGTAGGTTCTTTGTCAGAAAATGAGTAGATATTAAAAAGACTATTTTCTTCATTGTACCTTGGTTAGATGCTAGTAGGCCTGAGAGTCAGATGGAGTAAGATTTTGGTCATAGCTCTGCTATTTTATATCTTTTTTTTTTTTTTAAAAATTTTATTTTTATTTATTTGATAGAGAGACAACGAGAGAGGGAACACAAGCGGGGGGGTGGGAGACGGAGAAGCAGGCCTCCCGCTGAGCAGGGAGCTCGACACAGGGCTCCATCCCAGGACCCTGGGATCATGACCTGAGCCAAAGGCAGATGCTTAATGGACTGAGCCACCCAGGCACCCCTGTCTCAATATCCTTATCTGTAAAATGGAGACTTAGAATTACCCCAGGATTGTAAAGGAGAAATGATGTGACACCACCTAGTACAGTCCATGGGACGTTGTAGCCATTCAGTAAATGTTATTTCTTTTAATCTTCTCTGTTTCTTCACAAAGGCAGTTGGGAGAAAATTAGACAGCATCTGGGTTTGTGAATATATTTTCACTCTTCTATACTATCTGATGGGGAAAACAGAGTTATTTCCGTTTCAAAATGAGAACATTAGAACTTGGAAAGGAGTTTTCCAAAGGTTAGAGAAGCAGATATTAGAATCTGTAGTTTTAACTTATATTGCAGGGATGCAGAGCATTCTTACCATTGATTGCTAAGAGTAAAGTTTCTCTTTCTGGAATTTTGAGGTAAAAATGGTTATAACCTACTTCTTCTCATAAGTGTCTCCAGAAGGCACTGGGGATAATGTCTAAAATTTTAATTTTTTTGAATTAAACTTTTTATTTTAAGGTAATTGTAGCTTCACATGCAGTTGTAAAAAATAACACAAAGAAATCCTGTGTACCCTTTACTCAGTTCCCCTAAATGGTAACATTTGCAAAACCAAAGTCAAATATCACCAAGAAATTGACATCAATACTACCTACTGATCTTATTTAGATTTCACCAGATTTACGTGTTCTCATTTGTGTGTATATGTGTGTTTTTAGTTCTATGCACTTTTATCATGTGTAGGTTCCTGGATCCATCACCATGGTCAGGATACAGAACAGCTCCATCAGTACAAGGATCCCTCATGTCATCCGTTTATAACCACACCTACCTCCTGCATCCTGCCCCACACCCACTCACTAACCCTAGGCAATCACTAATTTCTTCTCCATCTCTATAATTTTGTCATTTCATGAATGTTATATAAATGGAATCACAGAGTACCTAACTTTTGGGATTGGCTTTTTCCACTCAGCATACTTCCCTTGAGATTCATCCAAGTTGTGTATATTAATAGTTTCTCTCTCTCTCTCTTTTTTTTTTTTTAAAGATTTTATTTATTTGACAGCACAAGCAGGGGGAGCGGTAGGCAGAGGGAGAGGGAGAAGCAGGCTTCCCGCTGAGCAGGGAGCCCGATGCGGGGCTCGATCCCAGGACCCTGGGATCATGACTGAGCCGAAGGCGGATGCTTAATGACTGAGCCACCCAGGCACCCCTAAGCTTTTATTTCTCAGATCTTTATTATGTTTTCCCTTTTCTTTTCTCATCTCTTTACTGTGTATTCAGATATCCTTTTAGATTTGGATTCTCCTGCTCCTGTCACGGCACCAGCACCGGCTCCAGGTTCTGCAAGCAGTGACTTGTGGGGAGACTTTAGCACTGCATCCAGGTATGAGCCTAGTGAAACCACCATACTCTCAATCAGGGTACAGAGGATGTGTTACAGTCAAATGAAATCTTGAACTGGGAAAGCAGGGCATTTGCAGGTCATACAGAGTCTCTGGCAGGAATTCTAGGTAAGGAAGTAGAGGAGTGCTGGGGATAGTGGGGTAAGAAAGCTGTAGGATGAAGTTTGAGTGGGATATTTCACGCCTTGATAATTAGAATTTCTAGTGAGGTATAGTTTCAGAAATTCTGGGTAGCAGTTTCTTGGAAGCTATTACGTGAAGAATGGAGTAGCTATCCTAATTCCTTTGGCTTTCTCTCTGTTCTCCTGTCTTGCAGCTCTGTTCCAAACCAGGCACCACAGCCATCCAACTGGGTCCAGTTCTGAATAGCATTGGCAGGACATTAAGGACAGACTTGAAGAAAAAAAATGACCTTGAGGGCACCAATCTGTGAGGGAAGCTAGGAACCCCTTCTCTCCCCAGAACCAAAATTATTGGACAATCTTTTTCATAGCTTCTCCATTGCATTCAAGCTGGTTTATATCACTCCCCTGTGTTGTTACTTGCTGTACAGCCAAGAAAGTATCTCTTATCTCCTGTTCACTATTAAGGCAGGGAATAATGGGTCTTACCATACTTGTGGCTGACTATGCAGGGCTCAGAAGGCCAGGTCTCTTTGCGGGGGAAATGAACTCTACCATCTGTAAAATTTTTCTCTGTCTTTTCAATTCTTTAGTTTATTTCCAAATCATCTCATGACCCCGTGTGCCCTACTTAACAATTTCAGGGGAAACAGAAACCTTGAAATTTCCTTTTCCATTAACCTAAGACCCTAAAAATGGACTGGCTGACCTCAGTGTTTACAAATTCAGAGTTTTGATAGGGATAGGTATGAAGAAAGACCTGTTTCCTGGGTCTGTGTTATAGATCCTCCTTCAGGCTTATCCTGTTCAGTGAACATCCTGTGCCAGGTGCAGCTCCGTCACCCTCTCATGTGTTTACATGTTTCTTCCTATGCTCAGAGGGTTTTGTTGGTGGCACTTTCACTGTTCTTTTGTTTGCTGAATAGTGCAACAACTTTGACCAGTGGGTGTCTCTTGGATGAAGGAGGTTCAAGGGGCCGTGTTTCCCAAGTTATGTTGTAGAGAAGCGTTTACTTTCTTGCAGCTCCATCTATCTGCTGCATTTGAAGTGTGGCATTACTTTGTATTTGCCCCATTATTTGACCTGAAGTTGAAGGGTTTAGAGTTTTTAACAGGATATGTAGAGCAGAAGGGTTGAAAGCACGTAACTCTCTTTCAGTACCCACATTGCCTTGCTGCCTGGATATCTGGCCCCTTTCCATAAACATTTATTTTTCAGTCCATCGAGCTCTTCACTAGAAAGCTGCTATTACCTACATCGTCATGTATGGAGGAAGTCGGAGAGTCCCTGGCACGCTAGCTGTGATAGTTTTGCCCACGTGATGGCCTTGATAAACCGTCACCTGGGGTATCTCAGAAGCAAGTTGCTCTCCCACCACTTTCCCTTCCCTCTACCCCACCATTCCTTTTATGATGCTGTGAAGAGAGTTCCCTTTCTTAGGTGAATGGGCACTACCTGTTTTGTTTGTTAATGGGCAATTTTGAGGATGAAATGGGAGGATATCATTTCTTCCCTTAGCACTTCTTTGGATGTGTACACTCTGGCTGAAGGGAGTCTTATATTTAGTTTCAAAATATATTCTCTCTCCTGTATTTCCTTCCTGACTCTTTTAAACTTTGGGTCCATTTTTTTCATTGCCTCCTGTTCCAGGCAGCTCTATTCTTACAGAGCCATGGCAGGACATTTTTAAAATTCCAATAGAAAACACTAAATGGAAAGTTCTATAGAATCACTAGTGACTAACTACTGGGAACCTATTTTCTCAATCTTCTTCCATGTTGTGTTCTTTGTATTCTCAAGATGATAATATATTATGTATTTGAATTGCTGGAAAATTGAAAATGAAATTTAAAATATATGTATATAAAGCATATGCTGTATTGGTGCAATAATGGTAATTAAAAATGTGGAAAAAGGTAGTGTCTCCTTTATCTTTTAATTTGCCTACTTCAGTGCCTTTTTAATTTAACTGACCCAATATAAATGGGCCAGTAGGTAATAAACAGACATTTTCATGTCTATTACTCTTTTTCAAGAAATAGGGCTTTTAAGTTCAGGTTACACTTCTGTCTTCATGGTTCTAAACCCACAGAGCACTCCTAATAGAGATGATTTATAGGAATTATTTATTTGCTGGTATAGTTCATTTCATTTGCTTCAGATTGTCTTTATGATCTAGGCCACCTCTCACATCCCAGAACTATAAGCAGCTTAAATGAGGGGAATCGGTGTAAGAGATGAAACTAAAGTCAGTGTCACAGACTTTGGAAACCAGAAGATCTTGGAGTTCTCATTCAGTGATTTTCACAGAAGGTGAATCAGAATGATATATGTGCTTGCCTTTTTTTTTTCTTTTTTCTTTAAAGTAACAAGCCGTTCCCTCCAGAGGTTCTGATGCACCTCCATTTGCTTTCCTAGAATAGGGCCTACATGGCTTTCCCACCCATGGCCTTTCTTACCATTACCGAGGTGGTGAGGCACTGTCATTGATAGAAGTGTATCCTAAACCTCAGGTTTTATTTGGGGAAGAATGTGGACAATCTTTTTTTTTTTTTAGCTCAATCCCCGCAGTTATACATTTGTATCTGTCTTCACAGTTGTAGTGTGAACTTTTATTACTCCACTTCCTCTGTTCTGATAACCTTCTAGGCAGTTGGCTTGCCTCTAGCTTTCTTTTCCTCCAGCTCCAATTCAACTTACCTGTTACCACCAGAATCATCTTCCTAAACCGAGCCCTGCTTATGCCCTTTCTTCCCCAGTTCATTGTCTTCAACGATTTTCCTTTGCTTACAGAATAAAGTCCATAGTACCATTGCATCCTCAACTCTGTCTTCCCTTCCACTCACAGTATGCTCCTGGAACTAGTCATTCTTCAGATGCCATTAGCACCATGAGCACTGAATGCTTGCTAAAATTCCCTCTGCCTAGAATACCTTCCTGCCTGTTGAAATCCTTTCCAATCATAAAGCTAATGTAAATACTACTTCATGAAATGTCACCTATCCTCCCAGTCTGAAAAATGATCTCCTTTGTTTTGTTTGGGTTGCTGTCGAAACTCTCTTTCTTACTAGTTTGTAAACTCTTTGAATATAAAGACCATGTCTGCATTTTTATCTATTCACTGTACTTCCTGTATACCTTTCTATATAGCTGATGTTCACTTGTTGAATAAACAGTGATTTCAGTGAAGAAGGACTAGAAATCAGTAAGTTGAGTGTTTTCCTTCTTTTATTCATTCTCAGGGTTGTTCCTCGCTACATGATGTAAGTATTCCTTATATGCTTTGTCATAGTTGGAGAAAATCTCATTTATGTGCTTCCGAGTCCGTCAGTATTAGGGATCGGAAAAGCAGTGATGAAGAAAAATTTTACTTGGTACTTTCCCTATGACCTGGGAAAAGAAAAATGATATTGTAAAACACAGCTGTGGGTAGGTTTGGTAGCTTATTGTCTCATTTTGATTATTATAACTGTCTAAGATTACATTGTACTTTGGTTATGTTTTAGTTATTTTCTAGCTTCTAAAAAATCCACTTCTGTTATTGCCTCTTAACTGTACATGAAGAGAATATATATGGTTTGTGACTAGAGGACTCCTACTCAGGAGCTGCCCATCAAGCACATATTCTGTTGAGAAAGGAAAAACGAAGAGAGTGATTTATTATCTTTACTTCCAGGTTCCTTAAGCCTGGAGGATATAAATAGCCTTGTGATTGTTTTCACAGAAATTTTATGGTTTGGCATTTATTTCAGATTTTTTTTTTTTTTTTAAGATTTTATTTATTTGAGAGAGAGAATGAGACAGAGAGAGAGAGCATGAGAGGGGGGAGGATCAGAGGGAGAAGCAGACTCCCCGCTGAGCAGGGAGTCCAATGCGGGACTCGATCCTGGGACTCCAGGATCATGACCTGAGCCAAAGGCAGTCGCTCAACCAACTGAGCCACCCAGGCGCCCTTATTTCAGATTTTTAAATAATCATTTTCAGTCCCCTTTTGAAAGATAACAAGATACAGGGGTAGTATGTTTTTTAAAAAGCTCTGCTATGCTTGAATTGCCTATATTGGAGCTGGGAGTAAAATAATTGTCCGCAGTGACCTCATGTTCTGCCTTATCAGTCTGGGGATAGTGTCATTCCCTCCATTAAATACAGTAATGCATTAAGACCCATTGTGGATTAATTGCTTTTTAATATTTTCTTTCTTTCTTTTTTTTTTTTAAAGATTTTATTTATTT